TTTGAGCCCAAAAAAACATTCATATCTTGTCTGACATCGCTGCTACAGACTCGGGTCTACAACTCGGGCTTTCAATTAAAGCCGCGCAGCTCTGCTTTTCTGTTTAATTGAAAGCCCGAGTTGGAGACCCGACTTTGTAGCAAAGATGTCAGACAAGATATGAATGTTTTTTTGGGCTCAAATGAAAGAGCGGGTCGAGAAATGGCGTGCTAGGACCTCTAAAGATGGTTTTGAACCAGGGGAGACTCCTAGACCCCAATGTTCTATACATACTCCTAGACCCTATTGTCCTCCTAGACAATGTTGTCACAACTCTGTTTTTCAATTGAAAACAGATATCATCTTTAGAGACATTTGTCATCTTTAGAGGCTCTAGCACGTCATTTCTCGACCCGCTCTTTCATTTGAGCCCATAAAAACATTCATATCTTATCTGACATCTCTGCTACAAATTCTGATCACCAACTCTGGTTTTCAGTTGAAATTGGAATTGTTAATTTACACAATAATAGGAGTGCATTGACGATTTTTTCTTAACTCGCAAAAATCTTCAAACAATTTGCTACCGATTGGTGATAAAATTTTTTGGCAATAATGAAATAGGGGGGATAACGCCTTTTTTTTCAGGGATGATTTTTCAAAAATTTATTTTAAAAAAAGTACTAACTAGCAAATATTTTTTATTAGCTCGCAATTTTTTTTAAAACTACTTGAGGAAAAAAATAAAAATTTGGAATATCTATACATGAGGGGCTAATTGATCGAATGTAAATTGCGGGCGGTAGGTACGGTGTAGCGGCCTAGTGTCTCCATCTAGTCAGTGTGACAGATGGATATATTAGGGCACTGCACAATCGGCCGGCTGTGCGACTAGGGTTTTACATGGTTTCCCGTGCAGTCCTCGCTCGAATGGGGCACAGCTAAGAGTAAGACGGCCATGATACCGCAGATAACAATGAGAGGAAAAGAAAGGAGGGGAGACAGGCTAGAGAAGGGGTTTCAAATCGAGAATCACTTCGATAAAATTAATGACATAGAAAAAAAAAAGTTTTCTTAATATAAAACAAATCTGCATTTATTATTGACGATGAATTTATTTGGATAAAATAAATATTCATTAATAATGAAAAAATAGTTCTTTTAAAATCGATAAAACCTCAAATAAAAAAAATTTTAAGTTGAAAAAAAATTCATGTCGTCGTATTTAAATCAACTTATTTATTTGATTTAAATGAATCGTTTCTCTAGGTGAAGGATTATTCTGTCATGAAAATTTAGCAACTTTTCGACCCTTGATTTCGGCACCTAACGGTTGTTCATTCCAGTACCATGGTTCTAGATTTCAGAACCGTGGTACTGGAAACCAGAAACTTTTTTTCTCTGTATAGGATTGTATCTTTCTGATAAGTACCGAATCCGATACGGAACCAGTCGGGATTATACTGATCAGAGTAGGCTCGGAATCGACTTCGCCATATTGGAGCCAAATAATCTGTTCAGAATCTTGTCAGATTCTGAATGCCGATACGAAAATCTCATAAAGAAATCCTGATTAGTATCAGATCTGTATTTCATCTGTGCCTGGACGAATTGAGCTGAATTTTCACACGGAAAAGGGTTGGAATTAGTAGATTGTGCACCAAGGGAGGAAAAAAGGATATTGCAACCCGCGTGTGGATTACTGCCCGAGGCGAACCCGAGGGCGTTAAACACGCGAATTTAAAAGTCTTTTTTTGCTTCCTACGTGCACATACTATTTTTCATCATAACTGCACGGTATAATTCGATTTCTCTTCGTAAATGCAGGGAGGAACATAGGTTGTGTCATTCCGAGAATCGTCAAAAACAACAAAAAGTCGGGGTATGAAATAAGCCACTTTCCTCCCGTCATTTGGGGAGGAAAATCGAACTTTCTGTGCAGATATGACAAAATAGTATATTGTGCATAAAGGGCGTAATGTCATGTTTTCCCGCTCGAGGTACGCATGCTATTTTTTAACACGCCTGCAAAGGAAAATTCGTATTTTGCTCTTTGATTAGCGGGAGGAAAGTGAGTACTTTCAGTGCAGGGGTGTGAATAGTATATTTCCGTCCCGGCGGGCGCAAAGTTAAATTTCCCTCCCGCTTCGCGGGAGGGATCTCTGACTTTGCGCTTACGCCGAGACGGAAAATCGCGTTCTAACCACGGGAAGTAAAATAAAGGACCCTCAGCCGCGTGCTTACCAACCTCGCCTTCGGCTCGGCTGGTAATTGCACTGGCGGCTGAGGATCCTTCATTTTCCCTCCCTAGGTTAGAAATATACTAATTATAACCTAGGGAGGGAAAATAAAGGATCCTCAGCCGCCAGTACAATTACCAGCCGAGCCGATGGCGAGGTTGGTAAGCACGCGGCTGAGGGTCCTTTATTTTACTTCCCGTGGTTAGAACGCGATTTTCCGTCTCGGCGTAAGCGCAAAGTCAGAGTTCCCTCCCGCGAAGCGGGAGGGAAATGTAACTTTGCGCCCGCCGGGACGGAAAATAGTATATTCCTACCTAGGGAGGGAAAATAAAGGAGTCGTGCCGTGGGCAGAAGCACGTGGCACAGGCTCCTTTATCTTACCTCCCGTGATCAGGACGTTATTTTCCGTCACGGCGTAGGCGCAAAGTCAGATTTCCCTCCCGCGACGCGGCGCAAAGCCGCAAAACCTGCCGTGGCGGAATAGTATATTGTGCATCAAGGGCGGAAAGTCATGTTTTTCCGCCCGAGGTGCATATGCTATTTTTTAACACGCCTGCAAAGAAAAGTTTGTATTTTGCTGTCGGATGAGCGCGAGGAAAGTACGAACTTTCCATGCAGGTGTGTGAAAAAATCTTTTTGTTTTTTCTTTTACGACCGGAACAGATAGCAATGAGCATAACGGAACAGGTAGGACAATAAGTAATATGTTTCGCATTGCATTCATACCACGTCGCAACATAATGCAGCTTCCCTGAACCAATTACGGTAGCCGGATTGCATATGCACAGCACTGCTCCCAGGTGACTTGCCTAAGCGCCATGAATCATGCACCCCGACCTTCGGCGACAGATCTCCGAGAATTTAATTTAAAAGCGTACGTATATATTTCTCATCTCTTGCACGACTGCAAATGACTCGCTTTTGTATCATTTCGGTGCCGGTATTCAAGTGTGCGAATAAGAATAGAACAGGCGTGCCTACCGAAAGCCGGAGGTGTTTACGTCACGATTGCTTTATGAGGATCTGACGTTTTTCTTTTTGTTGCTTCAGAGTGGTCACGTCGGGGAACTTTCAATGATATCATCTTCACTTTATTTCATATCGTGTTAGCAAAAATACTTTTTTAAGGGTAAATGAAACATCATGGACTTCATTTAAAATCAATTTACAAAAAGTTTCAAATCTATTTTTAGTTATGGGATGAATTAAAGATTTTTAATGATCGTAATTTTAATTTTAATGATGCAGACAGTCATTTTACCTGAGTTCATGGTCAGTTTTCTCCCTATTCTCCCGTTCTTTCGCTTCTTTTTCCTCCACAATCGTGTGATAAAACCCTTTCCACATGGCCTCCTCGTCCATTTTTCTACTTGTTTATTTTTCTGTTGATCAAACACAATAATTAACCACCAACGATTGTCTGATCGATCCCACTAATTTAGAACCTAGTATTTACTCTTATTTCCAAAAACAAGAAACAGAAACTCTCACGTCAAAATATTCGTTGTGGCACGGATTAATCCTCGGAATCACTTCTGAACGATCGTGTATTATTCCTCAGTGAGAGCTGGATATTTTGGGCCAAGGATGCCGGCTGTCAGACACCCACTGGAGTCCCAAGTAGAGTACTGTTGGTATTGAGTAAGACCGATGAGAGAGTTGGGCTTTAGCCTTCAGATGGCGACACCTTCTGAAGATTCAAAGGTCGCGCTATTCGATAGTAACTTATCCACTGATAACAAGGGAGATAGCTTAATACTCCTTATGCATACGATAATGCCGACGATAATTATCTGAATCTTTGATGACGAATAAATTGGTTGCTGTGTGAGTTCTTTTTGAAGGCAGGGAATGCATGCGTTCGTTCAGGCAGACTAATCCATTGCCGACTACAGCAAATATATGCTTAGTAATGAAAAATGTTTTCTGTTCCCGAGCTGTCAGTAAACTTTTTACTTCCAACAGCAATAATTCAGTAGCGAAGTGGTCGAACGGTTTAAGTTGATTTTGGCTATTGGCCAGTTTTCAATGCATATCTCTAAATCTAAGGGAGATAGCGAAATTTTTCTTATAACCTTTTTAGTAGCACTCAATTCGCCCTACAAAAAAGGTTATTATGAAAATTTCGCTATCTCCCTTAGAATTGGAAATATTTTTGGAAAACTCAACTAAAGAGTAAATTGACGGTAAACCGTTTGACTGCTTCGCTACTGAATTTTATGCTTGAGAATTACAAGTACACTGAGAGAAAAATTGTATAATATGTAAACCATATTTACTAGGCAAAAGTAAATTATTTTCGATAGCCTCAATCTCAGAATTTTTGCGCTTCACTTGCGCGGAACTTGAATAAATTCTCATTTATCACTATCGTTCCGCGTTACATCACGAATATATTACACGAGATCGAAGGCGCGCTCCGCGCGTCTCACAATTTGATGAATTTTATATGATTCATCGCGTTATTATTTAAAGGGGGTTTGATTGAAATCAATATGTTCTTTCACATATACGAATTTCTATTGGATTACAGAGGAGAAATTCGTGGGAAGCGATGAAAACTTCTATTGTAAATCCATAATTGTTTTTTGTTGCAAGGGGATGGAAATTTCTATCGAGAATCAATAGTTGACACGGCGAAAGCTATGAAAAACTTCCATTGAAAGCGAAGGATTTTCCACAGAATTCTATCGAAACTTTTATTGAAAGACCTTGAAAAATTCGTCAAAATCCATGAAAACTTCAATTGAGAATCAATACATGCCCCGTGGGAAATCATCAACACTAATATTATCACCAAAATCAGTATCATCATCATGTGAAAAAAATAACTTTCAGATATTTAGGAATAAACATGTGAGATCTCCTTTTTATATAAGAGTATCGAACCATTAGAAGTACGTAAAAAAATCATGATTAACAATAAATATTCAAAGATTGACAAAGATTGATACTTCTACGCGATTTGTGTGAGCTCATTTGCAACAAAATCATACGCTGTTAAAAATTTGTGTCTGAAATTGCCGGTACTCTTTTTGGAAATTTTTATCGAATTTAATTACCACTGAAATTTCAAGGAATTTCGTCATAGAAAGCTCAGAATTTCGCTGAAAAAATCAACGAGAACTGTGAATTTCAGTTCCATTTTTCCTTGAAAATTAATAGGAAACCAGAAAATTTCGGTAAATATGTATATTCTTGAATTTTCAGGATAGCGACACTAAGCGCGATTTAGGGGAAAAAATTAGTGAATCGAAAAATCCGTCAAATACAAGGCTTCCATACGGAAGCAAAATTATTAAATTTCAGATTTCGCAGAAAATCCAATGCAATTTGGCACTGAATATTCATATTAGATTGTAAATTCAAATAAGTTGAGGATTTCTCGTTTTTATGCTGCTTAAAATTCTGACATTTTACTGAATGTTCAGTGAAACTTGAAATTTCATGATTTTTTCTCTCCTAAATCACATTCAGTGTCACTGTTCTGAAAATTAGTAGTCAACTGTCCATGAAATTTCATTTTTTTCTAACAGTGTACTTGAGTACAAGAACATTTAGAAAATGAGATCTTTCTCGGACCACGTGAGTTGAGATGCCTGGGAGAATTAAGCGATTGAAGAAAAATTACTTGTCTCACGTAAATATGTTTCAGATATTCGATTTTTTCTCAGTGTAGCTGTCTGCAAATTAGGGATATATCCCTGGAATCAGTGATACGTCCCTGGAAATCAAAACTGTTTTTCCTCTATGTAGAATACATTTTTCAGAATACAAAAATTAAATCCATCTTTTGTCTTCCATTTTTATCAGTTTTTAAAAAATTTCAAAAATGGAAGTTTTTTGTTTTCATTTTTGAACTTTCATTCAAAACTACGCTAACACGTATCTTGCTACAACTTTATCATCCGTATCAAGTAAATTTTCTCAACATTTTAAAAATTCAATCCGTCCATCAATAATGAATTACATAACAGTCCACTGTCGATAAACAAATTACGTGTGACAAACAGACAGCTTCAGTGGTGTTTGATGAATATTGAAAATGAATTTTCCCTGAAATTCTGTTCGATTGAAGTGCAATCGAACAATTGTGATTATTCTGGATCAATTATCTCAGTCATTTTAATTGGTCAATTATTTTTCAACTAATTAATTTATTCCAGTGCATATTAATTTTTAATTAAATTGTGGAGAATGCGCGATGGGTCGCAGGAGCCACAGGTATTTCTATGTACCCCTCTTCCCCCTGTGCCAATATTTCGCAGTTTCTGATTCGCATTTTAGAGCAACCTATAACTGGATAAAATTATGCCTCATATACGCCGGAACAAGGGACCGGTAAAATTACGGAGATCTTACTAAAATTTATGAATTTTCCTGAGTGCTCAGGATGATATCCTGAGACCCGGAAGTTTGAGCGTTTCCGTTTTCTATGTATCCTCTGAATAATTGATTAACGACTTTGGAAAAATTAGCCGCAGCCTTTTTTCTGATATTATACGTGATCTAATGTAGAAATTATGATTGTAATTTTTACATATCATTGCTGTATGACGTGTTTTCCCTATCCGTTATTACATTAGAAGAAAATTGATACCTTGCTATTTTGAGAGGGAAAAGATTTTCGAATGGACAGGGTTGCCACTAATCGAAATACCTTAGTCAAATAAGAGATTATTATTTACGAAAATAATAAAAAGAATTTTAAGGATTTGACTTAAATTCAACGTGGAAAGTTTTGCGCTTACCAGAAACTATTTGTGTCGTGGGGAATACTTTCACCATGGAGAATAGATATTAGATATAGCGGTATGAAATGGATAACTACGAGTTCTTATATTTCAGTATCAATTCATGTATTTTTTCTGTAAATTTCTTGCTACGAAGAGAGAAATCCCGAGAAATTTTAATGTTCTCTATTTCGTATTAAAAGTTATCCTTTGCCTCATAGATTTAAAGGGGTATTGCAGAAAAAGGAAACAACATGCGTCTGATTGTCATTTGTCGAAATTGCATTTATTATTTCAGCTTCATTAGGCTCATGACTCGATTAATGTTTACTCCTCTTCCTCATTAAACCAGTTCAGTATAAGAACATAGCTAAATGCGTGCAAACAAGTTGCAGTAAAAAAAACTCCTGTCAACATCCACATTGTTGAAAATTTTTGTCTGAATTTTCCATGCCAAATTCCGAAAACTTTTATCGTGTTCCACTGAAATTTCAGGAAATTTTGTCATTGAAAAATCAAATATTCCATTGATTTTTTTGGTCAATCTGGTAATGTTGATCTAGAAATCAATAAAATATTTGATTTTTCAGTCCAATTATTGTGTGGAAATTCCGAAAAAAAAACTCTGGGAAAAATTGAAAATTTATGTCATTTTGTTTCTAAATATTCATGTTCCGCTGAAAATTCAACCAAGTTGTGAAATTTTCATCTCACTCCCACTGAAAACTCATGAATTTCCGCGAATTCTTCGTAAAACATGAAATTTCATGACCATTTTTCCCCTCAATTCGATCCAATGTCACTCTCATCAGATTTACTATAATATCTTCCATGAAATTTCAAAAAATTTCCAACACTGTAGCTGGGGAGATCTATTTTTACCATCCTTTCTGACGATCTGCTGCCGTTTGTAGGGCTTTCCTTCTTATGCAAAGTAATATCTTCTCGTATTTCCTTCTATTTATCCCATCAAGTGATCATGATATCATCCATCCACTTTGTTTGAAAGGCAGCAATCAACTAAACGGTCGGTCCTACCGATTATCGTCGAGCACCATCGGGAACCTTCGGGTGGAGCGGTCAGGGGATCGTGAAACCCCCAAAAGACAGTTGCTTTTCTGTATCGTCACGGTAATGATAGAGTAGAGTCAGTTACTCATCAGTATTCTAAATTTAATATTTTGCTCAGTACATCAACTTGTTAATTAATTCAGTATAGATTCAGTGACTCAACGAATTGAAAGTAAAGAGACAATTATCAATTTAATAAGACATTCAACAATTTAAGACCAAAGAGTGTAATAAATTAACGACGAGTGGTTCGATCCCACGAAAATATATTGAGATTTTTTATAACACGCCTACCATAATTTTCCCAACATCTCCCTCCACATTTCATCCCACATCCACCCTAAAACTAGTTCCTCACCAAACACACTTAGTAACCAGACTCAGCACTGCTTAATACTTGTTTAATAGAGCACTAGCCACAAGGCACAAGGAAATAATAATTTTATCACCTCATTAATTGAGAATGACCCCACATTACGATTTTATCTCCCATAAATTCTCCGAAAATCTGTGACAAAGCTGGGCAACCCGGGTTATCACCAAAACTGCAATAATTTTGCAGGACTTTATTATGTCATAAATAATGAAATGTAACGATTTCACGATGTTGAACGACCCATAACCCAAAGTCGTCCCATTATTTACAACAAGTTGTAGATAAGGCAGTCACTTCTAACCGTTTAATGTCACTCAAATTTTCCAATCTGATAATTTATGCTATAAAAGGAAACATCTGCCGTTGGAAATTCAGTTATTTCAACATGTATGTATGGGTGCTGTTGACGCTGCTAATTGGTAAGGCTCCAATAATTGATTATAGAATGGAAACAATGGTCTATTAATTCTTTATATGAATGTGCAGATGCTCAAACTTCGGCAATTGGCCAAGGAGAATTCCGACAACAGAATGTATTCCTCAACTTTCGTGTCAATAAGACAGATCGCGATGCTACTGATAAAACAGCTGATAGTATATTAACGAGCTCTCTAACACCTTCGAGTTATACATCAATGTATGATTTAAAATTGAAAAATGGATATGGATCTAATAATGAATTTCAATGGAACTTATCCGCTATTGGGACTTCTATGCTGAATGATATTGATAAGACAGTCGGTAATGTGTTAAGGAACTTCCTGACGCCTTCGAGTTATGCATCAATGTATAATTTTAAATTGAAGAATGGATATGGATCTAATAATCAATTTTATTGGAATGTATCTGCTATTGGAAGTTCTATCCTCAATGATATTGAGAAATTATCAGAAACATTTGGAATTGCGCAGGAATCCAAACCTGGCACATGGAAACCGATTCAAGAGTATACCACAATCTCTGGTCGAGTTTATTCTACTACCGTTTATAATACCAACATGAAAAGTCGATGGAATCGATCGAATTTCGTGGATTCAATTTATCATGAATTGTACCGATTCCCACAGAAGCTAATTCCTTTGGCTAGCAGAACACTCTCAAAAGTCAGAGAATATTTCCGAAAGAATGACTATATCAGAAAGGGATATGTTTCCCGTGAATCAGAAACTTCCAGAAGATTCCCAATGCATAACAACACCCCCTCCGGTTTGTTGATACCGACATTCATCAAAAATTGGAAACACTACATCGTTGGAGCGCGTCAATGTATGTCATCACCGAAATCTTATTTCAACCTTCCAAAAGCAGTCATCGATGTCATGAAATATTCTCCGCGAACCGCAGCCATGATTGTTAGAAATCGATTTAACAAACCTGTCCCTCGACATCCAGCTTCAAAAAAGAAAATCTACACTGGTTACGAAGCGATGACATGTCAGACATTCGCGAATACCATTCCAAACTATTATGAATGTTTGAAAGAATTGCGAAGGGTCAGTGCTTGTGTTACTGAGAAGACGAAAAAGTCTGCAGAACCGAACGCTTTGAGAGAGTACCACAGGCGAAAATTCTGGCCTTCTGCTCTAAGGTTGGTAAAAAGTGTTCAAGAGCTGGACAACAGTTGTAAAGTAGACAAGAAAACATCGACGATAACGTGCTCCCTCTTCAGTCGATCCAAAACAGATTCCAATGTTGGGATGAATGTTTCAAATCACCTGGGATGGTCACCAGCGGGTGCAGAAGCGCAGAAGATAGCACAGCAAATGATAGAAGTCATGCTGAAAAATCAATTGGGAGCTGATATCCTGGATGAAATCGGAACTTGCGTTTACATTTATCAACGAGGAGCTTCAGCCCAACACAAACTGAGGAAAATGTCTAGGAATCATCCTGGAGCCAGACAGATGTACGTGAAGGTGAATAAAACCTTGGAGACGTACAAGCATCATTTAATAAGGATCGCACTTGGGGCAGTGAACGATGTTCGCTCGATGTTCACTACGGTGGAGGGAACCCTGGTGAAGTCAATGTCAGAGTTTCTTGGAATTGACTTTTCGGAGCACATGAAGTCTATGAGATGCTTGGACGAGTTGTTGGACGCTATTATGGGGCCATGGCTTGGAGATGACTTTTGGGGAGATGGCGATAAATCGAAACCAGATCAACCAAACCCGGAGCAACCAAAGCCAGAGCAATCAAAACCAGAGCAACCGAAGCCAGAGCAACTAAAACCGGAGCAACCAAAGCCAAAGCAACCAAAACAAGAGCAACTAAAGCCAGAGCAACAAAAACCGGAACAACCAAAACCAGAACAACTAAAGCCAGATCAGTCAAATCCAAATCTACCGCCAACAGTACCGACTCCAGAAGTTCAAGAATCAACGGAACCAAAAAGTCGGTCTGGGATGAGGTCGTACGAAAACAAGTCCTACCATTCAAGTGAATCGTCAAGCATGTTTGATGATTCAGATGATCCCGCGGACTCCTCCGACGAAACTGATAAGCAGTTGAATCGGAGTTATTCGCCTAGAGGTACGAAATTGAAGAATAAGAATTGATCACTTTTCTTATTTCAACTATTCCTGAGAGTTTTCTCAACCTATTTGCTGAGAAAAAATTGTAAGACTCTTTCAGTAGGTAATGAAAGTCCTAAACAAAAAATTCGTCAAAGATTGCTTTTATAACATCAATTTTTATCGGAATTATTGAATATATTTTACAGCAATATTTATTGAATTCCAAATCTCGCTCAATCATTATCTGTACAATATCAAAGTTGAGGAAACAATCCGAAAAATGTTTGTTGATACAAATAATATTTCTGAAGAAACGGTTTTGTATCATTCCTTTCATGATTTAACAGCAAGTGCCTTTATGAATTACGACGTCCCTTCGCGGTTTTACGCCTCGCATCGTACTCAACCAATTATTTGTTTCAGGTGTCATCCCACGTGAAGAAGCAGCACGAAAGCTGATGAATTCGCTGAAGCGTCTGAGTCAAACGAAAATGCTAAGGAAACAAAGCACAATTGCATCCCTTGCTAACACATTCCTTCTGGCTACGATGTTTTATGAATGCATCACTGTCTTAGCTGCTGCTGTCTATCGGACCGAACTCAATACAGGTTCTGAGCCACCAACAGTTCCTTCAACTCCGGTGAAAAAACTAATTGATTTATTAATCCCACATGTTCGAATCTCCTATGATAATCAGAGGTATTGAAAAAGGAAATCACTGTTTCAGATTTACCAGGCGATGACTACTCCACAGGATCAAGACCAATCGTGGGAGCATAGTTAGTTGAAATCTGTAAGATTCTTCAGTATGAAACGAATAGAAGATCTATCAGCTTTTCTACTCTTCTACCGACGCAGACGCTGGCTATTCAGATCATGGATATATTTTATGATAGATACAATAATTTCCATATATATTGTTCAATATTGCTTCAATAGTTGCTAGTAGTATAATCACGCTCATGATTCTTGAAATAATGTACAAGCAAATGATAATACAATCCGAGAAGTATCTCATAACTCTTTCCTGCGCTCATTAGTCATTCCTTCTATCTTGAACTAGATAAACTTCAATCTTCACCTCTTTAAATCACCAATGATGCTTTTTACGACTGCTGTCTCCATGACTTTAACGATTGTTTCGGTTCATATAAAGTATTCGATACTCTCATTTTGAATCATTTGGAAAAATGTGGAGTTCTGTGAAAATTCTTTGCCTTTGTGGTAAGTCATTTATGTTCATTATTCATAATGAAAAGAAAAGGAATATACAACAATTTTTTTAGGCTCCATTGCTATCTGGATTCAGCCTGGAGAAACTACAAGGCCTAGAATCGTTAATGGGTATCCTATCAAGATTCAAAAGCGACCGTTCATGGTGCGCATCATTAATTTCTTTCCCTAATTGCTATATTGACTTCTACATTGAACATCTTATTAATATTCTGATGCGAGGGGCTGGTCACTCCTCAATCGAGTGACTCAGTGATTTCTAGAAACAGATGATTTCCTGTGATTTCCTGTTGATTTCTATGACTTCTCGAATGATTTTTGTAATTTCCCAATCAACATTAAAAATCATGATTTCTTTTGATTTGTTGTGATTTCCATGATTTCTAGTAGATTCCAATGATTTCTTGGTTTCCAGAAATCACTGGGGAAATCATGATTTCAGGACCAGAATGGGACATCTGTCGACAATGGCATTTTTCTACATGAAGTTACAATATGTACAGGGAGAGAAATGTTCAGTAAAAATTACGGAACTCACAATTCGCTCACCGATTACGGAATCGACTTAGAAAATTTCAGTGACGGTATCGTAATTTTTCACAGGAGATTCAGATAAAAATTATGGAACGCTCTGGAAAAATTCCGTGACAGTTCCGTAAAATTTCCTACAACCATATGTCGCTCCTAAATTACGGAAAAGATACGTAATTTTCATTGAATATTTCTCTCCGTGTAAGGACGTCAAAAACTTCATAGCGTCACATTTCGGGATTGGGTGATTTCGAACGCACTGATACACTAACAAAAATTGTAGAGTTGAAACTGCAAAATCAATTTCGATTTTACACTTATCGATGATTTCTGATGATTTCGGAAATTACTTGATTTCTTTATGATTTCTATTGATTTCCGATGATTTCCAGAAATCTTTAGAAATCATTACCGAAAATAGAAATCACTTGATTTTCAGTGATTTCCATTGATTTCTGGTGATTTTTTCCTTGATTTCCAGTCGAGTGGTCCATTGATTTCCTAAGTAGCCCTAACTAGCCCCTCATTCTGATGATAAGTAATTTTACGGTTTCTCGTAGAATTATTCTGGTTATTTTCTAGTTTTCAAAATGATGACTTTGCTTGTAGGTTTCATTGCATCACGGGATAACCGGATTTTTATGTGGTGGCAGTATTCTCAATCAATATTGGGTGTTGACTGCCTATCATTGCATGTAATTATCTCAAATCGTTATTGCAGCAGGAGATTAGGACTGTCCAGTGATTGAATTTATTGAACTCTTAGGACTGAAGGTAAGGATCCTAAGGATTACTATGTCAGAGCTGGCTCAACCTATCTTCATGAAGGCGGTTCCGTTCATTGGGTGAGGAATGCAGTTTATTTCGAGAATACTGAGGTGATTCCTTACGACAACATCCCTAAAAATGACCTTCTCCTTCTACGACTCAAGCACAAACTCAAATTTTCGGAACGCATCAGGCCGATCAATTTGCCTCGTGCGAACAAGAAACCTCCGCGTAAACTTTGGGTGTCTGGATGGGGAAAAACCGATTCAAAGGTATGTTTTGGGAAAATCTGAGTGATTCGTGATTGAATAACAAAGCAATCTATTAAATAGACTAAGAAGTGGTAAAGAAGCCGAGGAATTTTATGAAGACAATGAATAGTGTTAGAAGAAAATAATAAATTCTATGTTTTAACCCGTTACGTCGTCTCACCCCACTTCGTCGTACCCCACTTGTTTGTTTTGTGGTGACACGCGTGCGCTAGCATGCTTCTCTTATGGCTCACTAATATTCGGACGGACCCCCCACTTCTCTCACACCGAGACGATTCGATATTTCCGCGAAGGAATAGGTTAATAGCAATTTTCAAGAAATGAATGTTGAATTTGATTCAAAGGCGAAAAAATAATGATATTTTAAATTTAACTTAAAATTCAACGGAGTTTCGAATTTGTGGACAGCAGTAAAATAGTCAACTGCAGCAAGTTACTCGAATTCTCAATCAAAATATCAGTATTTAGTACCAAATTACGAAGATATGTTGACCTGAATTGTTCTTATTTTTATAAATTTTAAAGGAATAATTGAACTGAAAGTGTCAGTTTAAATTGGTTTTTTCATCAAATTGTGAATTTTCAATAACGAAGTTTCTTGAAATTTAAGTGGAACTGTAATTTAATATCAACTTCAAAGACGAGTGAAATTTCAGACAAAAATTTCCAACAGTGGAGGTCAAGTAGAAGATCACGCTTTGCAAATCGGTGATTCATTTCACCAACTTTCGGTACTTTTCTGCTACATGAGAATGTTCATCACTTCATAGTTTTCCTAAGATTTCAAGGAATTTTGCAATAAGCATTAAATTCTTATGAAAAAGTCAAAGAAAACTGTAAATTTGAATTCAATTACTCTATGAAAATGAATTATTTTACGAAAAAATGAACAATTTTTTTTACTTAGCCCTCCTTTTACCCAGGCGTAACAGAACGTAGCCGGAGGGCCCCGACGAGGGCTAGACAAGTTCGCGCTTCAGACGGTCCGTGAGAATATATAACGCCAGGATTGAATTACGATTAAACAGGATCTATAACCCTCTTTCCTTCGTAATTCGTATCAAAACTGTAACATTTACCATTTATGCTATCAAAAATTATCCCATGAATGTGAATAATTTTGGATAGCATAAATGATAAATGTTACAATCGCTCAATATTACGTAATCGTTCACATATGTGTAGGAATTTTTCTCTGACGGCAAATTATTTATTTTACCAGACGCGGTATTGTAAAATTTCACTTTCGTCAGTTGCTGTGACCTTCACATGAGTTCCAGAAAAAAATATCTTATCGGGAGATTTTACTGTACAGGGAGATCAATTTTTGCCTCCATAGATGTCTTTTTTCATTGAATCGTAAGATATCTTCAGCAAAAAATAATTTTTATCGAATTACAATTTCGTGCTACGATTACCATTCATATAGTGACATTGACGGTAATTTCCTATATAATTTTTACTTAAATTCTCTCTCCGTGTACTTATTTTAAGTGAGGAATGTTCTTTCGAGTGAAAGCGATTTCTTGGACTAAGGAATTTTCTCACAGTGAAGTGTTAATCTTCAAATCACGCGATTTGCCTTCAAGAAACTATAATTATAATTATAATTATTATTACACATTTGATCCAAATAATTAATTTTGCAATATTAGATCCCCATTGTCAGTATTGTCGAGAATTTGTAATTTTTCCGCGATTCTTTCAATGGATTCGTCCTGATTCCAGGAAATTTCAACAACTTTACGAATAGTGGAGGTACACTATATCTCGTACGAAGAATGTTTGCAGGCTGCTGACTGGTATCCCAAAGCAGTGTCTAATATAACACACCTCTGTTATTTTCGTATGAGCTACGATGCTTGCCAAGGGGACTCAGGAGGTCCCCTGGCCACTAATACAACAATTTACGGAATTGTTTCTTTTGGAGACGGCTGTGGAACAAGCCCAGGAGTATACACCAAAGTTATTCATTATAGAAACTGGATTAAGAAAGTCATCAAGCCAAGAAGGAGGATCCCCAAATGGAATTTCAATCCAATGAAATGAGACTGTTTGCTGTATCAAAATATGTTAAACCCAGATGCTCAGTTGTAGTGACTCAACTGTTTGTTCTTGAATCGTATCGGAGTTATAATTGCAAACTCATGACTAACAGATGTACATAAATTCATTCCTTATCTAAACAATCTTATCGTGTGATGTTGATGATGGAGGATATTTCATCTGAATCACAGGGTGACCCAAAAACATGAGTTTTAAGTAAATTTCTAAAAACTGTGAGACGATTAGAGGTGAATAACTGTTATCTTGGCATTGTGCAAAGCAAATATGGCTAATTGAAATAAATAATGTTCCCATGGGTCAACAGCTTATCTAGTCGGATATGAAATAGTTCAATTGAACTCTATTCTTTTTAAAGATTGAGAAGACGTAAAAAATCGAAGTGCTCGGGATTACACTCTACAGAAGAGAACATTGACTACTAGCATTCTTCACGAGGAGGGGGCGGTGAAATTTGGCTGTGCATTGCAGTTGTTCGTCCTCTCGTTTTCTCAAATTAAGGAATGCATTAATAATGGTTGAAAAAACCTAATTTGGATTGAATTCTTTTGGAACTCTATAAGGAATTTATTCGAAGTCTATGCAAACAGTATTCAAAATTCAGGTTTTTTATATCGATTTCTTTTGGAAACTATACAACTTATGCAGCGGGATTTTCACACTCTGAGATGGTTTAGAAATAAGCCAGACTACTATGAGTTTTAATATACACGGGGTATTTGAGTGAGATTTATCGTGAATTAAAGATCGCTTATATATGTTTAAAAACGAATAATTAATGCAAAAGAAATTAATTGCATTAGTGCAAAAGAAATTATTGTTCGGTTGCCTGGAAGACGCTAGAAATATTGAAAATTGTCCAGGGATTCGAATGTTTGAGCTATAGAGGTTTTTATTTTTCAAAATTGTTGAAAAAAGTGTAAACCAGGAACTACGAGTTAGTGTTATCAAAGTCGACTCCTACACAGCTAATTTCGTTTTTTATTTAAAAAATTTCACCATTCATGTAAAGTAGTCAGAAACATTTTCAGTGGAATGAATAGGGCAATTTCACATAAAGTGTTTTATCTAACTCAAGTCCGTCACTCCTCTGAGAGCACCAGATCTTTGATGAAAGAAAGCGATCAGAGGTTTATTTCTCTAAATAATTTACTCTACTAGGATTTTTTCTGCAAGAATTCTCTGGCATGAGTTTATGATGTTATTTATTTATATTAGTAGATTGTGCACCAAAGGAGGAAAACAGGACATTCAAAACTGTGTGTGAACCGTGTGCGAGGCGAACCCACGTGTTTACCGTCCTCGGCTTCGCCTCGGGCAGTAATCCATATGCGGGTTTTGATGTTCTGTTTTCTGCCTAGGTGCACATACCATTTTTCATCATAACTACACGGTATAGTTCGATTTTTCTTCGTAAATGCAAATAGATAGGAGAAACGTGGGTTATGTCATTCCGAGGATCGTCGAAAACAACAAAAATCCGAGGATTGAAATAAGCGGTAGGCAGAAAAAATAGACCAGGAAAAAAAGCCCACACACCCAAAACGTGTTAAAACCCATCCAACTCAAAAATTTCCCTTCGTCTATTTTTTCTTTCCCCTGGTCTATTTTTTCCGGTATTAGAAATAAGCCATTTTCCTCCCGTCATTTGCGAAGGAAAATCGCATTTCCCGTGCAGATTTGACGAAGAAGATAATCTTAAATTTCGAATAATTTACTCTTCTTTCTGAAAACACCCTACAACTAGAAAGTGATTTCGTTATCCCGCAAGATAAGAATTTCTAGATATTATAAGTCTTGTTACAGGTTTCTGAAAAATTCCAGAGAACAATAAACTACCGGACGCTCATCTCCCTCCCGGCTATCGTAACATTAACCCGGGCGAGCCATTGCAAAAGATACGACAATGAAATCACGGTGTGGAGCCTCCCGCGTTAAGGTTGGCTGCACCTAAAGGAAGTCCATTTACAAGCCCACGGTTTCACACGGATGCAGATGGACGGCACGCATGGGGCAACGTGTGGGCGTACGGACAACAACAATAAACACGCACCGGGGTAAGTAGGTGACACACGCACGCTTGTACTCTTCACTAACACATTCTGCGGCTATCGTTTAGGAGAATGAGTCACCTGTGCAGGGGGTTTACTAGACAGTATTGAAGTATCCATTCGCCGCTTCCGAGGGTCTTTAAACTCCCCCAGCCACGTGCGTGGTGGAGGGAAATATTGGAGCACCACTGAATGATTTTTTTTTCTCCATTTAAACAACACTTGGGTTTTGCAATATCATAATTTTTGAGCGGTTGACTTTTTTGGAACTGCAAGGAAAGAAATTTATACAGAAAAATACCTCTAAATATGAGGAGTTTTAGTAAATCTTTTGTAAAAAAACAGCAATAATTCAATTAAAAATTACAATATTTTGAGTAAAAACTACATTTAAAATTATATTCTCGTGGAATTTTTACCTAAAATATCATAATTTCTCCTAGACTGATTACATTTTTTGGAAATTACTTTATAACTTTATATTATGTTTCATTTTCGACTCGAAATTGTTTTTCATATATATTGAGAGAAATTGTTTATTTGACTTAGGCTCAATTGCACTAGCTTCAGTGGTCTAAATCGTCTAAAAAATGTAAACTTAGAAGTTTGATGAATTATTGCCCCAGGGGCAGTATCTAAAATTTATTCCAGGAAAAAAAATCAGTGTTAACTCCAATGAGGCCATAAGATGAATCAAAAATTATTCATCAGGTTGAATGTTCAAAAACGATAATTCCTACGCTACGGTTTTCCCCCGGGGGTTGATTTCCTCAACTAGGGCTTATTTCCTTAATTTCATTTGAATCAAACAAGTCAGTTCACTCAAATAGCTCGTAACAAAGCTTTTACTCAAACTGAAACTTGATTTTTGTTTGCGTTTCGATTCACATCGAATAGAGAGTTTTTTAGTGCAATCAAGTATTTTCTTAGTCAAAATTGAGGCTTCATTAGTTAGAAAAGAAATTATTGTTTAAATAGCGAAAAAGACTCATTCATTAAAATGCATTAATCCTTTGATTGTTATACACGATTTATTTCAGATAGATGAATTATTCATTTCATATAAATGAAAAATTTTCCTCCAAATATACGTGAGTTTATTGATGTCCAGATTATTGACAGAGCGTTATTTGATTCAACTCATCTTCATTTCGTCTATCAAAAGTGTTAAAAATTCAGATGAAAATCAATTCTTTTATTGAAATTATATTGAGTTAAGCCTCGAAGCCTTCGAACAAATGAATCTGTGTCTCATGAATATTTTTCTTCAAATTTTTCGTTTAAACAATTCATAAGGATGAAATAATCAGCGAATACATAGAATCAGCAATTGAGACAAAAATATCAATGAATAAAAAAATATAGAAACTCTTTCATGCGAAAAATCTGAAAAAATCCTACTTGAATGATTTAAGATGTAGTTGAATATTATTAATCTCCAAAATTCACTCAGCCAATTTTGAAAACAAATTCGAACAATTCAAAAAATAGAAATTTTCAGAAAAGCTTTTGCGGTTATATTTGTGTACATATTATGTATATGTGACCCAAAATTTGAGTCGATCGGTTGAGAATTGTGTGACGAGAACATTTTTAAAGATTGGATTCCTCTAGAATCACTTTCTGATCAGTAAAAAAATCAAAACTCCATTTTTTCATATTTTTTTTACATTAGATCGTAAATATTAAACTCATCATCACGATAGATAAAGGCACCAGCGATTTTAAAATTTCATTGTCTCCCCTTAAACCGACAATAACCTAATCACGGAAAATGCCACCACAATTCATTACATTTTCCCACTCCCATAATTCACAAACGGATGAAATAATTCTGTGAATTGTTCACTCAATGGTCCTTTACTTCAGAAAATAATTGCACTCACCTGTTACTAACCGCCGGACAGACCCTGGTCCGAATGCTCTTCAAAATATCTCGTTTAAGTTTACTGTACCATCCGATTATTCTCGAGTCGCAATCTGTCTGCACTGATGCATTAAGTTTCACGGTTTGTGGGATATCTTCTCTCTGAATCAAGGTCCAATTTGTACTCTGAACAATTGGTTTCTCCTCAACAGCCAGGATGCTGATAGCTCCGAATGGAACGGTTACTTGACTATTCTTCAATTTTTTTCGGCGTGAATACACGGGGATTCGCACGTCAGTTCCTAGTTCTGTGTCTGTCATTATCGATAGCAATATTTTTTTCGCCGGACGGCTGACGCGAGCCTGTCCCTTTTTCACTGAACGCTTGTTCTGCCGCGAGGGATGGCGACGACAAAATTGTTTATTCACTGGATCCAACATGATTAATTGATTCTTTTTCCATTAATTAAAGATGAAGTTCTGAATAGTTTGAAAAATGTATTGGATACAATTTTGTTGTTTTTAACTGTTTAGATTCACATGTTTGGAAATTTTTTAGAGATTTATTTTGGGAAGTTCACCGTTTTGTTTTTTATGCTCAGGGCTCAACCTATGATGTAACGCGTACGGTAGTTGAATTCGGACTGAATCATGTAAGTGAGCACGCACGTGAGTGGGGAAGAAAGCCGTCACGGCGTTAACAGAGGGATAGCAGGGGTCATTGAGGGGACTTTCCATTTTCCAGCTATCCCCCACTTTGTTGTGTTTAGTTAGTTGTACTTCTTGTGCACTCAGTTATTATGCTTCTCCGGCTGCCCTTTATCTTCATACGTCTGATGAGATGTGGGTACTTAGGAATGGTCATGCGTATTTGCATAATTCAGTTGTGGTCGTATGGGAGCAGGAGTAGTTTATCTAACAAATTATCTAAACCGCAAATTTGGGGATTTCGATGGAACGCAAAAAGGAGAGATCTTCTAAATGAGAGTGTTCTTTTTGGTTCTCTACGACAAATGAGATTTGTTCATAATTAACCAATGGTAGAGTTGAATATGACCAAACAAGACTCCTCAAATATGCATTTGTTAATTAATAACGAATGAACATTTGGTGAGACCGAAGCAAATCCATTTCTAAATAATAACTAATCCTTTCTATGAGTGCGGCGAGAAAAAATTAGCTCTGCCGAAAACCTATATGTTCTACGTGAGAATATTCGATGGAGTGGAACAGATTTACTTGAGGGAAATTAACCAACTTGATAGAAGGCAATTTAATATCGTTCACAGAAATTCAATTTTTGTCGTGATCATCAGAAATATCCCCAGAAGAATTCGAACTGTTGGTC